TGACTTTAAACGAGAATGCTGATATTCTTGTCTCATCAACGTGTTTGTCAATAACCTATCTCGTTTTAAAAATTAGTCATACGTAGAGCATGCTCTTGCGTATCGAATCAACCGAGAGATATAAACCCCGTATGCAGGGGATAAAGGTATATTGCTGCATAAGTAAGGGAAGTTGACGATCGAAAAGTTGAAGTCATCACTTTTATCATAAAGCTTTGTTGTTAGATTACCATTAACGTCTTTTTCTAGTAAAATATCCAAATATGAAACAGATGTGTCAGACTCTGTGGTATCTTTTATTTCAAGCTCCCCGGGATATTTCGGATCGACATAAGAATGGAAATAACCATTGTTAATTGACAATACGTCGTCGATATATCTAAATGTCGAGTTGAAGGCCACAGCAAGTGTTTCTTCTTTTCACGTATAAGATTTTGAACAAATTCAGCTTCATATGAATACAAAAAATAGGTCTGCTAGTAACGGAGCGTAACTGATACCCATGGAAATTCCAATAGATCTAATGTATCTAATGTAAATTAAAGCGCAAATGCAATAAGAAAATGAATTAGGAATAAAAGAAATACAAATGCAATGAAAACGAAGGAGTGATTAAAAGTAATGAAAGAATAGTATTAAAAGTTTTTTGATAAATGATAAAAAAAAATTAGCTACAATGTATAGATGTATATTTGTTCAATAAATTTAGAATTTTTGTGAATTGATTTTTATCTAAGGTATTAAAGCAATATATATCATAACCTTAAAGCTTAGTTCTTTAGAAAAGACAAGCATGAAAACAATCTGGCTTATAAACAGGTTTGCATTTCATTAAAAAATACTTGATCATGTTTGAATTAATATCTGAAACACATTAATATCATTACAATCCAAAACTCTCATCACAATAACCTAAATACAATAAATCAGGGCCTAGGATCATGAAACATCATCATCTTCAGTCAAAAAATGTATGTCGTGCTTAAATAATTTAGAAATCAAGCAGTCCAAAATTAATTTTCTTTTTTTACTTTGCTGCAATAGACTATTGGTATGTATGCAAATTAATTTTTACCTTGTTAGTGTCCTACTTTTTCAAGAACACAAGTACCGACATCAGACCGACATTTTACTCAATTTGTTTGTCCCATAACAAAACAAAGGACGTAAAAAGTATTCATGAAGTAATTCCCGGTATCCCAGTTGCGTAGGAAATGAGACAGATTGAATTTTTCTCCCTGCATGTTTATTAATTATTTTTTATGTCGTCTGGAAGTTAACACGGATTAAGACCTATTTGTAGAACCGTGTTGCATAGATCATTGATTTGTACTATAATTCGTAGTTTTCAAAGCATGCACTTCATGGAAACTGAGTTTTCATTTAGATAATGTGTCTATTATAAGTTCCTTCCCACTACAATGTTGGTTAAATTTGCTCTCTTGTGACGTCATATGGACTGTGTCATTGCTTGGTATTCCAGTTGGGAAATAAACTGCATGTGCCTCATGATATTCGACTTCCATACAACAAAATAAAAAACCCTGAATATAGCAAATATTGTTACACAAAATGCAATCACATTTTACATTTAATACATGTCACATTTAAGTTAAAATGTACGCCTGACTGGTTTACTTGTTAATCAATTATTTATTTTAATTGGTTTTTGTTTCATTTTTTTTTCTTTCATGTTATTCTATATTATTTGTTATACATTTAAAAGTTATAGTTTCTATATAAATCTACACTAAAAAGTCTGACATTTCCAATGTTTTACTGAGCGGGCATAAAAAAATCGATTACAAATGCATGAACTGTCTATCATGCTTATAGTAAATAAAAAGCTGACCACCCTTAGATTTATTTACACCTTTAATGACGACACATGCGTTCCCTGGAACACTCTTAAGTTGCGCGTTTATTCGCGAAAGTTTCGCGTCATAACGCGAGATTTACGCGTTGAACTCGTTATAAGGCGAATATTAAGCCTTTATTCGCGAACGTTACGCGCTTTAACTGGAAAGTTACGCTTTAGAACGCGGTTTTTTTTTACCTACGAAAATGAGCTCAATGGGCTTTCGTACTCAATAAATGTTTTGTTTTACTTTTTTGACCTACATGTATCTTGTCCTTGATTCCAGGATGTAAATTTCCTTTTCCCGCGCAGCGGTTAAACTTGGTCAATTCCTTCACTGTCAGACATCATAAAGGTTTTTGTTCTTGTCACTTTTGTTTGAGCCCCCCCCCCCCCTGTCTTCCGCTTTTGAAACCGTTGCTACGGGCCTAAGTTGAGGAAAATTTTATATGAGTGAACAGAGGGGTTATGAACCTTATCCTTTCACAAGACAGTAACATGTACTGGATAAAAAAATCATCTTTGTCCAAAAGCCACATTGACCTCATCAGGATGCACTGATGCATGTTGCAGAACTGAGAAAAATAGTTCTTTGTCGTACTAGGAAATATTATATAGCTCTATTCAGTTCTTGAAAAAAGAAGTTCTTTGCGGAACTTGGAAAAAATAGTTCTAAGAAGTACTTTTATGCAGTACTGGGGGGAAATAGTTCTAGACTATTGTGATGAGATCCTTGAATGCATCAGAATAAAGGTGTTACGTAATTACAATATATTCTGTACTCTTACCCGTGTCGTACATTTATCAACTCGTATCTTATGGGCAAACAATAGATCCAAGGGCCTCAATGGTCACGTGAGTACATGTATATTACAACCCTGTAAAAGATCCAAGGAATAGTAGATTACTAAGTATTTAATAAAACTAAATAAACTGATAGATAAAGATATGATGCACAAAAACAAGAGAAAAAATACGATTAGGGATCAATTAAATACTTGCCTGTATGTGCCGGTACACACTACACATGTATCATTCTCACCAACTAAATAACTTTAAAAAATAACAATACACAGAAAAATCCCTGAAACACTGATTTTCGTATAACATTTAATGTATAAATATAAGATACATGTATTTTAATTGCATTTCTTTATTGTTTTTAACAACTTGAACATTAAAAACTATAAAAGCACTTCTTATATTTTTTACAATAACAATTCTTGTAGAACTCCTTAGATTGAATTATCAATAGTATTGACAGCGATTATTTTAATTATCCTAGGTGATTAACAAAGGGAAATAACTTCTCAAAGAGGAAAGTACAAATTTTCCAACGTTTCAATAGAGCCCTGCTAAGCATCAGAACCCTTAACCCAAGTGGTTAAGAATTTCAAAAATCTGTTGAAAACACCATTGCTCATTACAACTTTGTTTGCCTCCTAGATGCCAAGAAGCAGAGAAAAAGATTTTCAAAGACTTCGTGCATTAACAGATCTTTTCCCTAACACCAGAACTGATCCTGGTGTCATTGATTTCATAATTTTGGAAGAGGCACCTTTCCTCATCATATTCATGCACTTCAATTGTCTGCTAACATTTAGTTCCCAGGAGCAGACAGAGAAAATTTTCAAAGAATTAATATAATTAATATGATCAAAAGAGCCTCACCCTTGCACCAGAAATCCTGATTCAGGGGCCATGAAAATTGCAATTATAGAGGAGGCACCCATGCTCATTATGACTTTGCACTTACTTTGTCTGCTAAATATACACGGGGTGGGGGAGGGGGTAGGAGAAGGTTTTTGAAAGAATTTATGATTTTTACTTTCACTGTATGATTAATAGATCCCATGCTAACACCAGAACCCCTGACCCTGGGACCATAAAATTTAAAATTTTAGAAGAGAGCTCAAGGCTGATTACAATCATTCCAACAGCTTGGCTGTTTGAGGTCCAGGAGTAAAGAAGATTTTTTAAGATTGTATTAATTTTGATGGTTTTTAAGATCCCCTCCTCCTGGTGGGGGGGGGGGGGGGGGGGGTAGGGGTGTTGCAAGTGGAAACTATGAAATTCATAAGTTTTCTTTCCCTTTGTCCATAGATGCTATATATCAAATTTGGTTGAAAATGGTTTAACTGTTCAAGAGAAGAAGCTGAAAAAGTTTACAAAAGAGGAGGCATGAAAGATGATAACAGCTGAAAACAGTAATAGCCCACCTGAGTAACTCCCGAGACCTAAAAAGCTAACCCATTCATGCCATCTTGCAAAATTAAATATTCCATAGTTCAGAGATAGTTATATTACAAAATCTTAACGAATTTTAAGTTTTATAAACTCAAATAAAGGGGTTGACACATTCCTTTACAACAGCTTAATGGGGTTAAATTCGGTTTTAGCTCACCTGAGCTGAAAGCTCAAGTAAGCTTTTCTCATCACATTTTGTCTGGCATCCATCTGTCTATTTAAAAATGCTTTTTCTATTTTTTTTCCTCAGTAACTACAAAATAGGATGACGTACTTACACTTGAACACCTTCTATTGCAGTAGCTAGATCTATTTATATTTGTAGAAAATCCTGAAGTTTAATCCATCAAGATTTGATTTCAATTGTTTGTTTATTGTTTATCGTCCCTCTCGAGAATTTTTCTCATATGGAGACACCACCACTTGCCGGTAGAGAGCTGCAAATTTTTTACCTATACTCGGCACTCACGGCCATTGAGCAGTGAGGAATTTTTTCATGTCAGCACCTACTGCGACATGGGACCTCAGTTTATATGGTCTCATCCGAAAAACTGGTCTCAACGTCCCACAGTGGGATTTGAACTTAAATTGAGCAATACATACATGTATTTTTTTTTACTTCTTTTTTTTTTTATTCAAACTTCTTTTCATTTCGGTGTATGTACGCTAATTTAACTTTCTCCATTATCCACTAGCTGGGCCAAAACTTTTCATATATTACACTCTGCTTGAAAGTTTTATTGATCATCATAAAAAAATGTCCCTATTAGAACCCTTTAAAGCAGTCAGATCTGTAGGCTGGCTACTGCAGACTCTGACATCTAAAATAAAATCAACTTTTCCATAATGGTAACACTTGCAAGCAAAACTGACAGTAAATTATTGTAAAAAAAACTTGATGATTCTACACATTTATTCATTAGAATGTGTACACGTGTATCCATTAAGAAGTCTAATGAAGTTTCACCTCAGTAACACAATAACATACACTGTATCTGATCTCTGCATTGACAATAAGATAAATGACGATTATTTCCACACTCATTTTCCACACAAATCCATGTGTTGTTGAATTACTGCAGGAAGATGGTTTCATCCTTACGCTTTTTCTGTACCACTGTACCAGGTTTATTCTGAGCGTCAGGGTGATTAGCCAGCTCTGGGGGACATGAAGAAACAGGGCTGGCCAAAATGGTCTGTTTAAGGTCGTATAGTACTGCAGAGTCCTGCTCGGGGGTCACGAACGTTATCGCTACACCAGTTTTCCCTGCTCGACCAGTACGACCAATACGATGTGTGTAATCTGACAGATAAAACAGAGAATTTGAATAAGAGTCTTCTCCCTTGATTCATGTAAAACCTAAATGTAGTACATAACACAATGTACTTAATTAATTATGAAAATTAGGTATTTCTAATGTTATTTTTGTAAGAAGTTTCAAGTCATTCTTTCAAAAAGTGTCAAATGCAGGCAAAATATCTACTGATTTTGGGTAACAGGTTTAATTATTTTAAATTATTCGAATATAGATGATCTTATCAATGTATACACAGGAGGATTTTCAAATATGAACATTATATATCTCAGAAATTAACCAACATATAAATATATATACATACAAGGAAAAGCTATAAGCATTAAAATACAAGACAAACCTTCAATAGATTTAGCCATGTCATAATTGATAACCAGGGAGACATCTTTGATATCAATACCACGACCCGCCACGTCTGTGGCCACTAGGATATCTTTAGTTCCGCCCTTTAGGCTGGCCAGAGCAAACTCTCTCTGTTCCTGACCCTTCCCTCCATGAAGTGTACAGGCATTGTACTGAAAACAAAACAGTACTTTATTTAATACCTACTATGTACAGATTGTGAATGTACACTGGTACATGTACATATATTTCTAATAGAGCACATTTTTTCAACTTTGTACCATATGTTTTTCATGAATGAATGTTTCAAATATTCATCAATACATTAGAAGTATTTTAAATAGATTTTCAAAAATAATTTTATACTTGCTGAACTTAAAATTCATTTAATAAGTCAACCTTTAATCTGTAGCTTAAATATAAATACATGTAATACATGACCTGTGAAAATGTACAATTTTTGGCAGAAAAGAGAGTAAAACTTCTTTTCTTCTCAACTTTGAACATGCAAAGCTTATCTGAAACTTTTCCAGCCTGTATTGTGCACTTTGGGAAACATAAAATAAACCTAGTAATTTAAATGACAGAAGAGATGCAAGTCAAGATTTTTTTTTTACTTACTCCCATTTTCTCCAGAGATTTGGCCAACACATCAGCTCCTTTCTTTTGGTTCACAAAGATGATGATTGGTGGATCAATTCCTTGTTCCAGAATCTGAACCAATTTCTTTCTATAATCAACCAATCAAAATTCATATTACATCACACACAAGCCCATGTAAATGTTTAAAAAAATATTTTAACTTGCATGCTGTAAAATTGCCTAATAGCTTTTCTCGCTGAAAATTCAAAATAGTCTGACGTTTTCAACATAGAAACAGTCTTTTCTCAAAGAAAATAAAAAAAAAATATTAGAGAGACAATCTGATGTTTTCTACCATAGTAACGGTCTGTATAAGAAAAGAATTTAATGTCTGCTTTAGAATTATACTAGCTTTTCCCTACACCTGTGACTGACCGTTTTTCTGCAGATGACACCATGTAGACAATTTGTTCAGTTCTCTCGGTGGGTTTACCAACAGAACCTATATATACTACAGCCGGTCTACGGAGATAAGATCTGGCGAGTCTCTCCACGGCGGGGGGCATTGTAGCTGTGAACATAACAGTCTGAAAAAAAAAATAAATATGTTCCCTCTATAACAAAACCAATCACGTAAATAAAACATATCATTTACTAATTTTTCTACATGAATTTTTTACATCATAATGTTTTAATTTTCCGTTTAATACTTGTTAAAAGAAAAACTCATGATTGAAAAAATTTTAACATATGAATAGGGTAAAATGGATGATTTCTCTACACTGCCTGTAAAAAAGATTGAAGAAATCTTTACAAGTATTAACAGCCACTTTATTGCTTATAAGTACACGTGTATGTGTGATCTACCTGACGGTACTTTTTCTTGGAGGTGTAATTCTGTAACATTTTCTCCACCTCTTCAGCATCTTCTGTGTCTGGTTTCTGGTTGGAAACTGGTAAATACTCTAGAATCTTCTGAACATCTGGTTCAAAACCCATGTCAATCATTCTGTCAGCTTCGTCCATGACGACATACGTACACTGAGCCAGAACAAGATATCGGTTCTCCAGGACATCGATCAACCGACCAGGTGTAGCAATGACAATCTTAAAGGTACAAAACTTAAAACTCAGGGAAAATAACTTATTATACAATAATGACTGAAGTAACATCAAACATAGCCATTTTAAATATACATTGAATTCCCCCTTACAAAATGGACTAGAAGTATAAAGTTAAAAAAAAAAAAAAACCAAAGGGCAAGGAGATCAAGTCCTGCTGAGGTTTGAATAATCATACATGTTTTAAAACTGCTATTTATTGCTATAAAAAATTATGTATATTTTTAGGCTGCTTGTAGAAAAGTTTATGCATCTTATAATTTTCATCCATTACAGTTTTTTACCTTTAAAATTCGGTCTTACATAATCTACTACTTCATTATTCAATGTTTGAAGACTTATAGAAAGAATCCTAATACATTGTATTACACTCCAAACTTCCAAACTAAATAATTTGAAAGAGATACACTCCCAGTGATGCTACACTATTTTTTTCCTACCTCACATCCCTGCCGTAATTTAAATCCCTGCTCTTCTCTCGAGATTCCTCCAATGATGGCGACCGTCCTTAAATTCAGGTGCTTGGCAAACTTGATAGTCTCCTCTTCAATCTGCTGGGCCAACTCACGAGTCGGGGCCAGAATAATGGCGTATGGACCCTGGTCATAGTCATCAAATCTGAAAGACAACCAAAGGCCTTATATACTTCATATACATGTACAGTATAAAATGGTTTTAACCATACATACTTTTAAGGAATTAACACTGACAGCAAAGTGTTTTTTTTTCTCCCATATGAAATGTAAGAAAAAATTGATAAATAATATAAAATGGGGAATTAACACTTGATTGGCTAGATGAGGCACCTACTGAGTACAATAGTAAACAAATATTAATATTTGTAAAAATTATTGCTATTAAAATGCTATCAATAGATTTTTGTCCATAAAAAAACATGTGTATCAGATTTACATATTCAATTAAACCATGTTAACATTTTGCACCTGCCATCTCCCATGTCTAACTGAGAGGTAATGAATAAAACACACACTAACCTTTCTATTTTAGGAAGGGAAGTAATCCATTTAAGTAGCGGCAGTAAGAAGGCGGCCGTCTTTCCACTACCTGTTTCAGCCACTCCTATAATGTCACGGTTCTGTAGACCTATAGGTATAGCCTGTCTCTGAATGGGAGTCGGCTCCTACAAGGATTTTTATCATGTGATTAGATATCTAGATTTTCTTAATATTCAAGATATACTTTGGAAAGTATAAACTACGATACATGTATGTTTCAAAGGAAGCACTACATTATAGCAATGGAATATGTTATGTGCAGTCTGACAATATTTTTCTACTAAGTTACTTTAAGGAATATACATGTATCTGCTTTGTAAATTCATAGAAACTCTTGTTGAAATACTTTGTATTTGCACTGAAGATCTGCCTAAACACATTTATATTAGTATGAGAGAGTGACCTCTGCCATTTTGATGTGGACCTGTAGTTTATAGCTCACCTGAGCTGAAAGCTCAAGTGAGCTTTTCTGATCACCTGTTGTCCGTCATCCATCCGTCTGTCTGTCCGTCCATCTGTAAACTTTTCACATTTTCAACTTCTTCTCAAGAACCACTGGGCCAATTTTAACCAAACTTGGTACAAAGCCTCCTTGGGTAAAGGGGAGTTTAAATTTTAAAATGAAGGGCCAAGCCCCCTTCCAAGGGGAGATAATCAAGAAAAGACAAAAATTGGGTGGGGTCAATAAAAAATCTTCTCAAGAACCACTGGGCCAGAAAAGCTGAAACTTATGTGGAAACATCTTGGGGTAGTGTAAATTCTAAATTGTTCAAATCATGACCCCCGGGGGTAGGGTGGCACCACAATAGGGAAACCAAGTTTTTCATTGAAATATGTAGAAAAAATCTTTAAAAATCTTCTCAAGAACTGTTGGGCCAGAAAAGCGGAAACTTATGTGGAAGCATTCTGGGGTAGTGTAGATTCTAAATTGTTCAAATCATGACCCCTGGGGGTAGGGCGGGGCCACAATAAGTACTACAAGGGGGAAAATCAGGTGAAAAACAGCAAGGCCAAAGTTACTCAGGTGAGCGTTGTGGCCCATGGGCCTCTTGTTATTTTTATAATACTGAGAGAGTGACCTCTGTTATTTTGATGTGGACCTGTAGTTTTGATTTTTACAATACTGAGAGAGTGACTTCTGCCACTTTGATGTGGACCAGTAGTTTTTATTTATACATGTACATACTTAGAGAGTGACCTCTGCCACTTTGATGTGGACCTGTAGTTTTGTATATATGACCATACAGACTTAAATAGGTTTACAGAAGCCAAAATTTCTTCATTAATATTTTCACAAAATACATTCAGAATACTTTTCATCTACCAACTTAGACATTTTTTTTAAAATTAGGAACAAATAAGGCTGCCCACAAGAGCAATAAACCCTAGATTTCTACCATCAAATCTACACAATGTCCACATTAGTAAACAAAATCCACGAACCTTGTAGCCAACTTGTTCAATTACATCCAGAATCTCTTTGTCGAGAAGACCGGACTCTTTCCAGTTCCTCATGGGGTTAGGAATTCTCCCTCCCTTACAGGAGATGTTGTAATCCTCCTTAAATATTCGCCAGTCCCTCTCTGTCATCTCTTCTAGGCTCTTCTCCGCCCAGTGACGATCATCCCATTTCTGCTTGGCCTCTTTCTTGGCAATGTTCTTCTGATGTTTCCTGTAAAAGATGAAGTTACATACTTTTGTGTGTATTTTGAAATCCCAATCTGTACCTCATTATTGATTAACTTTAAAATCTAATCTCTTGAACAATGCAAAGGAATTTGGAGAAAAAAATATTTCTGAGATAAAAATATTTAATAAATCATTAATTAACTTTAAAATCAAATCTCTTCAACAATGCAAAGGAATTTGGAGAAAAAAATATTTCTTAGATAAAAATAGTTAATAAATTATTAATTAACTTTAAAATCAAATCTCTTCAATAATGCAAAGGAATGTGGAGAAAAAAAATATTTTTGAGATACAAATAGTTAATAATTTTCTGTTGAATATTTCGCTTCTCATTCTACACCAGGTTCCGAGACCATCAAACTTAGACAAGCTCAATTTTGGTCTCGGTTTCACTTTTCTGCTATTAATTCCTTTTGTAAAAGTGAGACGAGATCAAAAGTGATCTTGTCTAATTTTTATGGCCCCAGAACCAGTTCCTTACTTTTCTTGTTCCTTCTCCTCATTAGTTCTTCTCCTCTCCAGCAGCTCACCATAAAACATAGACTGATCTTTTTTCTGAGCCTGTTAAAATAAAATTATCACAATTTAAACCATTTTAAAAGAAAAATTCTCATGTTATATCATGATACTGTATACAGGGTTTATTTTTGTCCCATGTTATTTTCACCCTTTTGCACTTGCGAGCAATTCTGCCCTGTTTTAAATTCAGCCAGTCACAGGTCTGTTTAAGAATTTATACTGTGTTCTTTTAATTGGCCCACCTGCAATAAGGGTGAAGGGGTGAAAATAAATCGGGTATAAAAATTTTCCTGTAAACAGCAGCTACATCTGTGTGTGTAATAACTTTATCTGTATTTGATAGATACCTTGACATCTGACTTGGTTGCATGTCTTTCTTTGTACAGGGTGTTTTAGTTACCTTGCTATCTCAGCACATACATTCTTCATATCTATGCATTACCTTGATATCTACCGGGTACATAGTTACCTTGACATCTAGTATTTATTACTTTGATATCTACATTGTTACCTTGATATCTAGTATGCATTACTTTTATATCTGTTTAGTAACTTTGATATCCATGTATTACTTTGATTTCTTTGTAGTTACCTTGATATCTATGTAGTTACCTTGATATCTATGCCTGCTATATGACCTCTTCCAAAGAACTGGACAGCATGTCTTTCTTTATACAGAGCATTGTAGTCCTGTGACGTGTCATCCCCAGCATCCCAGTCAAACACAAACTTCCTGTCATTTAGTCGGCGAATTCGACGTTTCTTTTTTGTTATTCCCAGATATCTCTCCTACAAGCCAAAAAAAAAGTCAACATCGAAAAGTGGAGTATTAATATTTACAACAAAATCTATCAACACCAGCTTAGCTTATAAACCTCAACTCTTTACACAAAGAATAGTGCTTGCACTTATCAGGTTACCATCTTTAAATAAAGTATTATTATAAAAAATTATTAATAAGTGTAAAGAGGACCCTTGATCTATTCTTTTACAGAGCTGCCAACATCATGGAATGAATAAAGTGCCCCGCCACAGCACGATACGCCCGTCAAATATTGTTCAATTATCACTAATCGTTTAGAGTGCAAGAAAAGCAAGTCAACCTTGATACACGGATTTCTAAGATTTTTTTCCATTCCTTATATTTGTTTATACATTTCCTGTGGTGTAGGCATGAATTATAACAAATATTACATTATAGATCCACAACTGATTGTGTTAGAGCTTGACAAATGCCCATCTGCAGCCCCCCCCCCCCCCCCCCCCCCCCACACACACACACACACACACACCCTCACACACATCTTTCATATTTGTGAGACATGATGCTCTGAAATTTGTTAGTTGATATTTTCAAAAAATTAAATAAAAATATCATATTAAACAATATGAATTTAGTCTTAACAACTTAATCTATACCAAATCAATTTTAAAATAAAAGACTGGCCATCAAATGACATATGCTATAAACTGACCAGCAGTTCTTCTGTTTAATTCCCAAAGGATACAGATAAGAACTGCTTGATCAGAGATGCTCTAACAGAAATGAATGAGACAGCTAGCCTTCCTACACTGAACTCATTAATTAATCTTTAACTGGATTCATGTCCACTCATTACTCCAAAGGGATGAATGGATCTGTGCTATCCGCTTTGTAGTGCAATTAAAATGCATATTTATGTCATTCTGAAATTTAATTTTGAAAACAAAGATTTTTTTTTCAATTTGTTACAAAGATTTATAAAAAGAAAGAAAAAAATTGTAATCTTGAAGCAACATTTTTAATAAGGTTTCTGCTTGACTCTTAGATTTGTAGGGACTATCTACCCTAATTAAAACTTTTTTTTGAAATACTTGATGTTTTTTTTTATAGATTCAATGTCAGACTGGTTTTAAGCTGCAATTCAAATGGACAACCGGCATGATAATTCCAATATCACCCCCCCCCCCCATCTCCTCCGAGTATAATTAGTTTTAATTAATTAGTTTATTATACGATATCAAATTAGTTTATTATACAATATCAAATTAGTTTTAATTACTTTTCACCAAATTCATTTTTAAAGTTAGGCTAGCCCACAAAAACTTTTTAATCCAACATGGCTGATTCCTCATGCCCAGTTCCCAAGAGATATAGATAACACCTGCTTGATCAGAGATGCTCTACCAGTTAGCTCCTCACACTAAACTCATTAATTTCTCTCTAATTTCACATGCAATTTTCTGCTATCAAAATTCTCCTTGACCAGTGCTTGATAATTACACCCATGGGAGAGGTGGAATTTCTCTTGTAACATTATATTTGTTATGGATTGCTGTAAAGTATATAATGAAAAAAATAAGTATTTTCTTGATTTTAACATTTTTTTAATAAGGATACTGCAACACTTTTACATTTTTTGGGATTGTGTAATTTAATAGTAAAAAGACAGGTTTTTTTTAAAAATTTCACTTAAATTAAAAGTCAGTGACCTTGAAGTAGGTCGAGACACACCTTCTACCCAACATGCATAAACTGGCCAAGTTTGATGATTCTAAGTCTAATAGTTTTCTAGTTATGAGCCGAACAGGATTTTTCCATACTTGGCCATAGCATCTTAATTAAAGGTCAGAATGACCTACTTTTACTGCGCGACACACCCTCTACCCAAGAAGTATCAGCTGACAAAGTTTGATAATCCTAGGCCTAATAGTATTAAAGTTATGAGCCGGACACGAGAAAAGCTAACAGACAGACAGATGGACAGACTGACGGACATGAACGCCGTAAAATAATACGTCCCGTCTAAAGATGGGCGTATAAAAATCATAAGGAGGGGGTCCAGGGGCCGCCAACCCTCTCCCTCGCAAGTTAGTAGAAACGGACAATGACAAGTACAATTACTATGTCTTTTTTATTATAATAATAAATAAATGAAGGTGGACAGCTATGAAAATTCCCTTATTTCAAAATTTTGACGGAAAAAACAGGCATCAGAAGAATAAACAGAGAGATCGTAAGGCCTATTTTAGAAGCAAAAACTGTAAGACTAACGCCAAAATTGTAAGGATTGGCAGCTCTGCTTTTATTACTGTATTTACAGTATTTATTACAGTATTTATTACTGTATTTACAGTATTTATTACTGTATTTACAGTATTTATTACAGTATTTATTACTGTATTTACAGTATTTATTACTGTATTATCTAAGGATTGAGACAGGACATCTGTCACATTGTAGTCCATTTCTCTACATTTGTACAATACCTTGATGGCAGCTTGCTCTTTCTCTTTGTCTTTAGATTCTATAATGCTGTTTTTCTCTCCATCCTCCCTTTCTCTCTCTCTTTCTCTCCTCTCTCTATCACGGCGTTCTCTGTCTCGTCTGTCCCGATGTCTGTCATCTACAATTATAACTATACTGTACATGGTATTTATATTATATTCCCCAAAATTAATCTGGAGTTTCTCAGGCTAAAAAATAAAAAAAAATATATGACAGTCAGGTTCTTTTTTTTATCATTATTATCATTTTTAAATGGGTGTTACATAACTGTGTATCTCTTTTTTCTTGTCAACAAAGTGATGATTTCAACAGAATCGTTCTAAGATCATACTACAATGTAAGATGGTGAAAAGGGGAATGACTCAATTTTCTTTTTTCGAGTTGACAAATAGAAAATTGAGTGATTCCCTTTTTCAACATTTGGACAAAATCATAAATTAGACAATGGGAAAATTTGAACTAATGGTTTCTGAAAAACTAATAAAGATTAATGTTTTGGCCTTAACATTCTCTAAAATGTAAACATATAACTGCTAAAATCCAAAACAGACTTTTTTCTTGAGTGGAACAAAAGCTCAGGGATGGGTATCGGCAAAATTTTCGTATCGTGATATACCACGATTTTTTCCCAAAAATATCACGATAAATCGTGATATTTTTACACGCAATTTTTAATACAATTTCAAATGAATTTCCATAACATTTCTTAAAAATATCCTGTAAAAACATAACTTTACTTTTTCAATTTTCATTCATTTAATATAAAGCATGTTTTGATGCCATTGTTTAACTGTTTTCAATATTTTTTACACTTCCTGTAATTGTCATTCAATAGTTTGAACAAATAAATGAATAATTTCCAGAATTTATAGTTATGTACAAAATACCGGTATTTTAGTCTCCGTATCACAATACGTATCACGCAATAAAAAATCGCGATATACCGGTATACCGATAAAATCGCGCATCCCTACAAAAGATTATGATGTTTTTTTAGAGTAAGAACCTAAACCTATGTGTTCTTGGTGTTCAGCTTTGTTACATTGCCTGTCACAGCTGAGGATCATTAAATACCCATCTCCCCTCTCACCTACCATGTACCTTTTTCTTACATAACATTCTCTTTACCTTCCTTGCAATAAAATTCTTGCTGTTTTGAAAAACATTTCCCTAATTCACCTGTCTACCTTATGGAGTACCTCCTGTTGGTTTTCTGGCCCATTTTACCCTTTCCTCTCCCCGTAGAACACAGTTTGTTCTAAAAACCCTTTTCTCTCTTCATCCACACTCTGCCTTGGTTTTTTATTCACTTAAGCCCCAGCCTACCTCATCCCTCTCCCCCACACAGTAAGACCTTCTCATTAGCACCCATCCTACCCTCATTGTAGGAACTACAGCTTTTATTCCAAACCTATTTCTCTTAGACTATCCTTACCCTCCCTTCCTTAGTTGAGGAACTCTAGCTGTCTTCAGGCTTTCTCTTAAGCCCAACCCCTCCCACATTCACATTATGAAGGACCTTCCCTTAAGTATATCCCCCTTCCACTTCTCCTTCCTTCACTGTAGGAACCTCAGCTTTTATTCCAAACTCACTCCTCCCTGTCTTGGTTGAGGGACTCTAGGTACATGTATCTACAAGCTTTGTCTTACCCCCCCCCCCCACCCCCCACCCACCCCCACACACTGTAGGACCTGCCCTTCAGCATACCCCCCTTCCTCCTTTGTAGGAACCTCAGCTTTTATTCCAAACCCACTTCTCTTTTCTTACCCTCCCTGCTTTGTTTGAGGTCTTTTCTTACCCTCCCTGCCCTAGTTGAGGTTTTTCTTACCCTCCCTGCCTTGGCTAAGGACTTGTCTTACCCTCCCTGCCTTGGTTGAGATCTATTCTTACCCTCCCTGCCCTGGTTGAGGTCTTTTCTTACCCTCCCTGCCCTGGTTGAGGTCTTTTCTTACCCTCCCTGCCCTGGTTGAGGTCTTTTCTTACCCTCCCTGCCTTGGCTGAGGACTTGTCTTACCCTCCCTGCCTTGGATGGGGTCTTTTCTTACCCTCCCTGCCTTGGTTGAGGAACTCTAGCTGTTTCTTCCTCTCCTCCTCTTGTTTCCTCTTCTGTTCGGCCACAGCTTCCTGTCTCCTCTTTAAGGCCTCTGCAGCTCTTTCTTCCTTGGTCAAGAACTTGGGCTGATATCAATGAAACAGGCATTAAAAAATTAATTACTGTGTCTGTGTTCAGTAAGCAAACTAAACATGCAATTTTCTTATCAGTATACTGTAAGGTTTTAATACATTAAAAACATCTGCAGCGCATAAGACATCCTGAATGAACATGTTTTTTACCAGTTCTACAAAATAATGTATCATTTTAATATGTAATACATGTATGTCATATGTCAATTTTGAAAGTTTGTTTTCTGAGGCCATAGCTACGTGTATAAAGTGACATTTTTTGTCAGCATACTCTCTAATAATAAAATGGATTCCTTACACAAATATTGCAATCCATCACTATGAGTCAAATTCATATTTTGCTCTTTGAGCTTTTTTATTTTGATATCAAATCATCTGCTGTGAGAAAGTCTTACATGTGCCTCATTCTGAGCTTTCTACTCTATCCCTTCATAACATCTCTGTCTCCTACTATACATGTATTACACCTCCATAAGATCCACCCCTCCTTACCTTACACTGCATCTCCTCTTTCTGAGTCCTCCTTAACATTCCTTTTCTTTCATTTACTACTTCTATAACTACCTTACACCTCCATAAGATCCACCCCTCCTTACCTTGCTTTGTTCCTCCTCTTCTGCCTTCTTCTTTGCCAGTAACTCTTCCAGTGACAGGGGAACTTTCTTCACCACCTCCTTTTTCTCTTCCTTTTCCTTCTTTACTCTGAAACAACACATGCTGCTGTATTACACAATAACCCTCCTAAAGGGTCTACATAACAAATTCTAGTTTTTTTTTTGTAGACTGGTTTACACTAGATAATATGTAGATTCCTTATATAAACAAAGAATTTACTGCAGCAGCATAATTTTGCAAGAAGCACATCTTGCAAATAAAATTACTTGCATTTATTTTAAATATTGCTAATTCTTGATCAAGTCCACTTGCAAATTCTTGTTCTCATGATTTGACATCTATGCCTTATTTTATGATATCAAGTACTTGAGTAAAATAAGGACCCTACACAACCTCACCCTTTATCTGATTTACTGGGCGACCTGTCTTTGCGTTTCTTCTTGTGTCTGTCTCTGCTTCTACTGCGATTTCTCTCTCGACTACGACTCCTATGTCTGTGTCGTTCACGGCTTCTGGAACGATGTCTGTTAAAAAGATTTGTATACATTAATTCAACAAGACAACTGCTCAGTGTTGAAATATTAATTTGATAAATATTGAAATGTCATGCATATTCACTATGTCCAAGCTCTTTTCTGCTTGTGTGAGCTTTTCAATTGATTAAATATTAAATACATAATTGATAACAAACAAAAAGTATCATTTCATCCAATCACTATCTGATACATGTACAGGTGAATGGATAAACAAATTAAAAAAAAATCAAAATTATTATCTCATTTCATGTGTCATTAGAGAGAGAGAGAGAGAGAGAGAGAGAGAGAGAGAGAGAGAGAGAGAGAGAGAACCAGTGGGAATTTGAAAACATTGCAGGAATGAATTTTTATTTTCAATTATTTATCATTTTCATAGTAATTTTAATTTTGAAATATTGTACAATTTCACAGTACAGATGTGAAAAAGAACCCTACGCAGCTATGTTAAGGTTTCCCGAAGCTTTAAAATGCGCTCAAAACATAATATGTCATCGCGAGGTCGGTTTTGGTTTTAATTTATAAGTATTGAGCTTTAGTACTTCCAATTTATATAAAGGGTTTCCTCGGCTATATATTAGCATATTTGTAATGATATCACATGACTTTGTTGATCAACGGTCATTTATAATTTTTTGAAGTGTTTCATATAAATCGCTTCGGCGCAGCTGATTAACACAATAATTATTAACATTTTGTTATATAAATAAACTTATAGTATCCTTGTGTATCCGAAATGTGCTTGGGAAAAGTCATAGTTTTACTTGGGTACAAAATATTTCCCGAGAAATTCAACTTACCTACAAATTTGAGGGTATTTTCCACACAATATCGTAATCTGTATTAAAACAAAGCCAACACACATTTTTCCCAAGCAAGATTTAGTTATAGAGCAACCTCTTCTTACAGATTTCCACAAAAATTCTCAGATTAATCCTCATTAATCACCTGCGCCAGACTCTTTTATACACACAAAATAAATTCTACCTCCAACCACGGGTATAAAACAGAGTACGTTTCAAAAGTATATTTTTCATAAGCATTTTGAACATGATGAATTTCAATCAAGGGTAGGTAAGCGGTGTATTTTTAAAATATTCGGACATATGAGACTTAAAAAACCTTTAACGACCCGTGAATTTTGCAATAGCTATCTAGCATTTTACATGCAGTTTGAAATAAAGTGTAAAGTTCATGACACTCTCCCCGTCATAACACCTCAAGTATGCAGTGACCTGACGTCATTTTCCATTATGACGTCATATTTTGGTAGTTCATAGATGTGAAGGCACAGAGTGCACTGTCATATTCTACGGGAAACCTTAACCTACCTGCGTAATTTATATTTTTCATATTTTATGAATACATGTATCAGTAACAAGGTACTGTGGAATCATTTAAATTCGTGGGTGCCAATGTTCATGGGCAAGCAAATTTTTACTTGTTCGTGGGGATGTAATTTCGTGGGTTAATCGTTTATGCGGTAGATTTAATAAATCAATATGTTTAAAAATAAACGTTCGTGGGGATGTAAATTCGTGGGTAAAGGTGACCCACGAAATCCACGAACATTGGTCCCCCACGAACAATGATGATTCCACAGTAACATCAATATCCCTTTTTACCTCTCTCTGCTATGAGATCTGTGTCGTTTTCGTTTCCTGTCTCGAGACCTTGACCTCTCCCTCTTTCTATCTGCTTCATGATTTTTACTCTCTTCTACTTCCATGGCAAATCACTGTCTGCAATATACCATCAAACATGTAACATAACTTTCTTATAAAATGAAAAGGAAAGTGATGCTTTTGTATACATGTATGTAGTTTAACTCATGGTAAATATGCTATCTTTAATTTAATGTTACCTGGACTCACCTACTTTTTTACTGACTGTTGCCTTCGACATGGAAGATAAGGTGCCAGTTTATTATTGATATTGTATCGGTTACATGACAATTCTTTTTTTTTATTCACAGATTCTGATACATAACTGCAGAGTACATACATGTATATATTTCTTAGGCACTTGCAGATGTAAAATGCATTGGAGTGGAACAAAGCAAGATATAAATTGTTAGTAAAAGTTATAGAAAAACAATTTATCAATTCAGGATGTTAAAAAAACTATCCACAATAGATTGTCTTACCCTTCCTTTTTTTCAGGGGTTGAAAATTTCCAGGAAATCTATAGAGCCCATCAGGAACGACTAATCAGTAAAAACTTACTAGCCCATTAAACTCAAACTAACAAGCCATACAATTTATTAAGCAAAATGAAAACATAACACAAGTAAAAGTTTCAAACACTTTGGTGACAGAAACAAATTAAACTAATTCTGAGCCAAAAGAGACCAGTCTACATAGAGAAAAGTAAACTGACGAATATCATTTTTAAATAAGTTAGCCCAAGTCTTAAAACATTTAGCCCGGACATCGGGCAAATTTTCAACCCCCTGTTTATAGTGAGCGCAGTGAGCGGCGCGAAGCGCCGCTCGTGAAGCGAGCTCAATAGACTAACGTGTAAGAACAGAGAAAATTCGGAATGAAATCTGTACATACGTCAGGCAAATTTTCTGGTGCAACATTCCCAGTATTCCTTCGCTACCAGGGTTCCATGCAAATTTCTTACAAAACATACAAAAGATCAAGAATCATTATTCATTACCGAGAGATACGTTTACTTTTCTTTCTTTGCAGAGAGCTTAAAAGAAAATAAATAATTACATCTATTCTACAACGTATTTCATTTATTATTGCACAAGATCTTTAGTCTCGTTCAACCAGATGCTCGGCTGTCTCCGTAAATTCCGACGTCATGTGACGTCACAGTCTAGACTGTGTCTTGTGCGGTTTGACGTTTCAAGAGGCGGATCAGCGTTCCAAGTGTAAGCTGCTATCTATAGTTTTTAGATGGTACAACTGCGCTCGCCCCAACGGTCACACCGTAAAACATATTATACATGCACATACTTAATATTATTTCATTTAGTACATTAACTTCAAGTGCCCGTAGTCTAGACTCTATGAGGCTGTTGAGGGATATATGATGACCAAATAAACAATTAACATGTAGTTGGGTCTTGGCTTATAAATATCTATACATAGTGATATGAAAAAAGAGAATTCCTCTTACTTATCATTAGGTATACTTTTTATAAATCAAAATACCTGTGAAACAATTCTGTCTGGACTTCCGTCCGTAATGGATATGCTTTTAAGTGTTACCAAAGCGAATAGAACACGACTTATCAAATATTAAATACTTTGTATCTAACATTTTCTTTCTCTAATGTCTTACCTTTAGTTTAATCTTTCTTTAATGATAATTTTTCACTAATACATCGAACTCTACGAATCAACTTCGTTGCATGGGCGCCGCCATTTTTGAAATCTTAATTAATTCGTACCTTAAAAATTCGATGATTAAAAAAAATATATATTACAGACTGCTTACCTTTCCAAGGTACCTGATATCACCTCTGACATCCCATGGGTCAATATTTGTATTGTTAAATTAGAACTTTTGAGCACGATTTTCGTTATCCGTGCGAAGATCCAGGATTTTTTTCTCCAAAGAGGAGACTCAAAAAAGTAATGATCGGGCCACAGGCACTTGTTGCCTATAAAGGGCATCCCTACTTATTTTTACCACAGTGGTAAAAAATAAGTAGGGATGCCCTGTATACGAAACAAGTGCCTGTGGATCGGACAAGTAAATTTTAGGGAAAAAACTTTCTCAAACTTGGAAGAAAAAAATCTATTTATAGTTGGGGGTCACTCTCCTAAGTCAGTTTTCTTCAGAAAGATATATTCCTTACTATTTTACAAGATGTCCGTGATTCCGGGGAAGGGAGGGGGTCCAAGGTAATTTTTTCGTTACTTTCCATAGAAATTTATTAACTCTGAAAGTCTCAGGGAGGTTTGACTCCTCTTCTAGATCTGTCATGGTTATCTCCAAAGTGCAATTTCATTTTGTATTAAAATGTCCTCAATATCAAGAACTAAGAATTAAATATATCAAGAATTGTTATTTTGAAAAACCATCCGTGTTTAAATTAGTACAGTTACTGAGTTCCACAAATACTAAAGAACTATTTAACCTAGGTAAATTCTTGTATTTCTCTTATCAATTAAGAAACATTGATGTTTAAAATCAATTCTTTGTATTTTTTTGAATTTCTGTTAACCATCGTGAAATTAATTGATCTGTTAAATAAATAAACCAGCGAACACCTAATACTTAAAAAGGTGAACATTAATATTATTGCAAGCCCTTTTGCTATTTATTTGGAAAATAAAAATTCACTTAAAATTACAGAGATATCTCTCTTTTTAGAGAGATACGAGGGGTGATCAAAAAGTTCGCGAACTAATTGAATTACTTCCATAAAAGAAATAAAATTAGCTTTAATTACATTACCGTTGTTAAAATTGTGTTTATGATATCAAATTCATTCTAAAAAGTCTACATGCAAAATAGATTTTCAACATCACATTAACAATCGTCAACTCAATCTACTTTTTTTTTAAATCAGCTATTAAGATCAATACAAAAAATCACGAAAAGCCTTTGCTGTTAATATGGTAGAGAGAACTGAAGAAGGTTGAAGGTACTTTAAAAAATTATTTGTTCAGACATTGCTTTGTTCTGAGAAAATTATTGCGAGGGAAAAAGCACGTTTAATATTTACGTCTATTTACAGTCTTATAAAATATCACAGTATACATAAAGAAACTAAATATCTACTGAAAGGTCTGAAAGTTGGACTGAATGTCATTAAGTCCCTTTTCAAAAGATTTCAATCATCCTTCAGTTAACTGAGTGGCATAGTTTCATTTCCTGTGTATGTATTAGAGTGTGTACAGAGCAGTGTGGCAACGCACTTTGAAATTTTTTTTTTCAAAGTGCGTTAAATTTGGGACAAAAACAAGGCACTTCGAATTTTTTTTTTCAAAGTGCGTTAAGAGTGTACATCAACATTTTTAGCTCACCTGAGCCGAGCCACTTTTATATTTAAACTTTTCAGCCTTTCAAGACTGAACTGATTTCTGCTTTTTCCTAGCCATACTGCTCAGGTGAGCGATGTGGCCCCTGGGCCTCTTGTTTACCATGGAGACACTTAATGCACTTTGAAAAATACGCATAAAACAAAAATTCTGGACTTAGATTTTAGTAATAGACAGCATTCATTTGTTATATTTCTTCCGAAAAACTGATGAATTGATCTACCCTCATCGAGAACGAGGAAAACACAGGTAGAAAGTCTCTCAGCCAAACTCTGTATCTTTCCTACACAAACATATGCATTTACTTATAACTGGTATGACATTGATATTATTTCTCTCAATAAATTTGAGTTAACGTAAAATAGATGAAAAAATTGAGATAAGCTTTCCTGAAAAATACACACCCTATTTTATTAAAGAAGAGAGACCCTTATTCAAAATGTATTCACAATGATTCCTCAGAGAAAAAGCATTTACATGGTAATTAAAACATGCAATTTGACATGTCTAGCGTTTTTATGATATCAAATTACTGATTTAGAAGTAATCCGACTGCATAACTTTTTTGAGAAAAGGTTATTAATGAACGAGGTAAAAATTTCAGTCGAGTGAGTAATTTGGCTAAGGTTTATTTTCTTACTGTCAAATAAATGAGTCAACCATTGTTTCATATATGTTCACAATAGATAGATAGATGAATATGATAGAAAGATAGATGAGAGAGAGAGAGAGAGAGAGAGAGAGAGAGAGAGAGAATTTTCATGGTATAGAAAAATCATAATTGCTCCCTTTTCCCTAAGAAAAATGAGATTCTTTAAGTCACTTATCGACACCTACATCTACCAAACTTATTAGAGACTGGATAAAATTTAAAAAAGAAAAGAAAAAAAGAAATGAAACTGTGCTATTAAACAATCATTCCTCCATTATTTCTAAAAGACCCATTTCCCTTTTATAACAGTTACAAGAACCTTTGGAAACAAGACAACTCCTAAAAATCTTTAAAACATATATATCCTCGATCCTGCATCATCACCAAAAAGTCATCCAACCAGGTTCAAATACTTATTTATCATACCTAAAATTTGCAAGAATATTGACCAAGCCGTGCACATTTTATTCAAAGTGCGTTAATATGGTCGATTCTTTCAAAGTGCGTTAACGTGGTCCCAAAATTAATGCACTTTGAAATTTTTTTTTTCAAAGTGCGTAATTTTTGAAAGTGCGTTGTAACAGAGCAGTACTATAATTATCGCGATACTTGTATAATAATAAAAATCTTGCTGTGTGTACCGGTCTTGTAGAGTAGGTTTCTCCTCTAAAATCTTACCCGGAAAACTGGCTCTAGAGTAGGATATCACCCGGAAAAAATGCTCTAGAGTATGATTTCCCCCACGATAAAATTTACGCCCGGGAGGGGGGTGTTCCTAGCTATTCTTTGTAATAGTTATATAGTTGCTGTGGCCTTTGATCAACTCGACCTTAAAGGCAGAGATTTTAAGCAACGCCTTAAAAAATACCTGGTCTGTGTACCCCTGTCAATCAAGTGCATTAAGGTATATCAACAGCCTATTATCAATTATCAATAGTTACTTCCATTCTTATGTTAAATCGATATATCCCACTGAACTTGAAATAAAAGACACCACAAAGTCTGCCACACCTGTTTCATATTTGGATGTTTTACTGACTATAGTACGATGGCCGATATCAGCCATGTCATTCTACAGTTAAAT